TCGGGATCAGGTGCTTGGTCCCATTCACTGTTGGGGACACCAGCAGTGGTGGTAGGGGCTGGACATTATGCCTAGAGAGCAGCTGTCTCGTGACCCCTGTAGGTTTCACCATCATCATCGAACCCTTTGATGACAGGACCCCGACTATTGCCAATCCCATCCTGCACTTCAGGTGAGAGCCAGTCCAGTCAGGTGGGGCTTTGGGAAGGTCCACAGGGGGTGGGTCCACGCGCCCAGCCCTGGCCATTCTTCACAGCTGCATGGACGCCTCGCTGGCAATCAAACCTGTCTTTGAGCGTTTCCAGTCTGTCATCATCACCTCTGGGGTGAGACTCCCCCTCCTGCCTGCCTAGCCACCTACTCACTTCCCTGACACCCGCACCAGACCCGCTGAGACATTTCTGTCCCCCCACCCCAGACACTGTCCCCATTAGACATCTACCCCAAGATTCTGGATTTCCACCCTGTCACCATGGCAACCTTCACCATGACGCTGGCCAGGGTCTGCCTCTGCCCCATGGTAAGTGGGGAAGGGTCTTGAGTGGGAGCAAGGGGTCACCATGCCTCCCGTGTCTTCCACTGGGGATTCAGATCTGGGCTGAAGTCTGCTTCTCCCAGTAGACATGACTCTGCAAACCTCAGTTTTCTCGTCTATAAAATGGGAATGCCTCTTTCCAGTCCTCCAGAGCCCTCAGGAAGATTAAGTGAGCTACGAGGTTTGAAACCCTTCTGTATGTAACCCAGGGCCTGGCATAAGGTTAGTCAGTGTCCTGGTTAACTTGTGACCTTGGGCAGGTGAGTCACGTTCTCTATTCATTCCTCCAGACAGAGCAGGTAACAGAGTAGCTGAGGGCTCCTTCGTGCGTTCAGTTCCATGTAGAGTACAGAGAAACACTGGCAGATGATTGGCTCTCACACCTGGGCTCATGGCACTGCTTTGCTTACCTCTTTTGCTCACTCCAGATCATCGGCCGTGGTAACGACCAGGTGGCCATCAGCTCCAAGTTTGAGACCCGGGAAGATATCGGTATGCTGCTGGACAGGGGTGGTTCATCTGGGTTCCGAGAAGGGAGGGTATCAGCCCGTATGAGCCAAGTCAGGCAGCAGGGAAATCCCTCTCCACACTCCACATTGCACCACTCCGAGTTTCATTTCTTGCCCATGGTACATATCTGTCATGGTTGGTGAGCTTCCCACCCCATTCTCCACATTCAGGGACCCTCCACCAGGGGCACGTCGTCTTCGTGCTCTAGCGCTGCTAGGGCAGAAATAGCACTAGTTGGGTGAAAGGTACTTCCAACGCAACAGCTGGTTCTTAACTGCTGCTGTATAGGGTTTCTGAGGAGCAACTGTTGAGTTTGAACTGCTGACCTTGCAATTAGCAGTCCAATGCTTATCCTACAGGGCCACACCAGGACTTCTCACAGTTTTAGGAGACTCACAGTCTGAATTCAGGGTGGTGGCTCTGTCTGCTCTCGGGGAAGGTCCTTGTCTCTTCAGCCCTGTGTCCTGGCTCTGTGGAGATCTCCATGTGGCTTAGCATCTGCCTTCCCCCATCTCTCCTCTCACTTGATCCTTTAATCTTCACTGTATCTCAAGTCCGGAGTCCTGGTGTGGCGCTGTGGGTTAATGCACCAAGCTACAAAGCTGTTTGAACTGCAAGGTTGGCGGTTCAAGCTCGCCAGCTGCTCCTTGGAAACCCTACACAGGGTCGCTATGGGTTGGAACCGACTTGATGGCACTTCACAACAACAGCAACAATATATCTCAAGTCCTGGTGTGGCGCTACAGGGTAATGCACAGGACGACCACAAGGTCAATTTGAACTGTAAGGTTGGCAGTTCAAAGCTATACAGGGTTGTTATACAAACTGAACAGCACTTAACAACAACATAGCTCAAGAGATTTACTCGAGATCTGCCTTGTATTAATCCTGTCTCATTCCATCACAAAGAAAACCTATTTCCAAATGGACTTGTAACCACAGGGAGGGGTTAGGAATCACATCACGACACATAGTTTGGTGGGGACACAGCTTGAGGCGTAACTCTGAGGCAGTGTGACGTGATGGCTGTGACCATGGTGATGCGGTTTAAAGGACATGGACCTTTAAACATGGTCCTCTCACAAGGACCCTGCCCGAGGAGTGATATGTGGCCACCTCTGCCATTGTTCCTTTGGCTGGGGCAAGTCAGGCTCACTAGAGGGCTGCAAGGGGACCCTCCCTGCAAGGGCAAGTTGAATACATGTGAAAAGCCTTAAAGGTGACCTCAGTGAAGATTCTGGGACCCCTAAGTTACAAACAGTGCGTTAGACTGGAAGTGGGGGCCCAGGATAGGGTCCAACTCATAAACCCCCTCACAGCGGTGATCCGAAACTATGGAAACCTCCTGTTGGAGATGTCCGCCGTGGTCCCCGATGGCATTGTGGCCTTCTTCACCAGCTACCAGTACATGGAGAGTACCGTGGCCTCCTGGTATGAGCAGGTGCGTCCCCCACCCCACTGCCCCCTCCCTTCTGGCCAGTGCAGCATATAAGATGTACACAGATAGCTTCTGTGACCTGTGGGCCCCTCCACCCAAGGGGGTACCTCAGGAGAGGCAACCACGCCTCTTTGTCCCCTCTCATCTTTTTACGGAGTTGCCCCTTATCTATCCCGGTAACTGTTCCTCTTGGTGAGGAGACCCCTGAAGTAGTAGACTAGCTGGATGCTGTGATGGTCACAGAAGATTCTAGAGAAGTCAGGCTGGACAGAGACTCCAGAGAGCCCTTTCTGAGTTAGTGTGTGGACAAGGTCAGAACAGGAAATGGCTCACCACAGCTGGCAACGAGCAGGACTTAAGGGAGAGTGGGCATCTCAGTCTTCTGCTTTTGAGCTCACTGAGCCCTGGTTCTTAGGTAGGTCAAAGTGAGGTAGGTGTGAGGTGAGAGCATGAGGGAATGCGGGGGACAGAAACCTAGAGGTTGGCCTTGTGTTCAGATGCCCACCCCAAAGCCTTTGCTCCCGGTCCTTTCCAGGGCATCTTAGAGAGCATCCAGAGGAACAAGCTGCTCTTCATTGAGACTCAGGATGGGGCTGAAACCAGCGTGGCTCTGGAGAAATATCAGGAGGTGGGCTCT